ATGTTTGCTTGCAAGACTTTGATGCTCAGTGAGGGAAGTTGTGATAAAATGATGACCGAGTCTTCAAAGGCCATTTCAGATGCTCCAGAATTGTGCATGCAATATTCCAAGTTACATCAGCAATAGCAATCGCAGTATGTAATCCAGGACTCGAAGTAAATCCAGAGGGGGTTTCATTTGTATTGTGTATACGGCCATCATATTTAAATTCCACAATACCACAGAACTCATGTGACACTGCTGGCGGTCGACTTCTCGTATAAGAGCCTCTCAATCTTTGTATTGGACCAAAGAACACTCTGTCGCATGGGGCATTGGCGGCTTCTCGAGAGCCTCTGAACTGTCTCAAGGAAGCCCCCGTATCATAGGTCTTAGGCACGACTCTGTATTGGCAGGATATGTTGTTCTCCAAGTGGCTGTTTAACTATTGTCTAGGAAAAATCTCTTGTATGGATTACGCCAAAGTCGCCATGTCAACGCCTCAGTGGCAGAACCTCCAAAAGCGAAATCATGTTATTGTCCGACGGTAATTGAAGTTCGATGTCATGTGAAATTTCACCAGGGATTGTTTTTTCTTTGCGAGTTAGCTAAGGTGCATGCTATCACAATTGGTCATAAGAAATGCCATCTTGTGTTTTTGGAGGGAATTTATAATTCGTGTGTTTGCTATCCCATGTCTGACGAATGGGTTGCTTTAGTAGTAAGGTGGGTAATGGTCTGGATGCTTCAGGTTTGTCCAAATCATAGACTAGTATAATTGATGATTCTGCTGAAACAAACTAAAATGCTACGAAACCAGAACCTCGATACTCTATGGAGAGATTGACGAGCTAACACAAAAAAAAACAAAAAAAAAGGAGAAAGGCGATATATCGCACCTACAGAAACGTCAAGACCTTGCAGGCGAGCGGCAAATGATAAACGTTCAATGTCGAAAGTTTCTTTGCCAATATCATTGATGGATTAAAATATGAGAATTGCGAATAACAGGCAAGCTGTTAATACCAGAATGAATAAACTCCAATCTTAATCCTCAAAAGATTCCAAACCGCTTCTCCAGTGATGACCGTCTTGCCTTGAGAGTCTGCCAGATTCGATGAAACAAGAGAAGGGACAATGCCGACTAATTATATTTGGACTACCACAACTTCCTCTTGGTGTGCACAGCGCAGAGCAAGCTGACCATTGTTGTTAGGAGCACTCTTGACTAAAGTATTGCTCGCCTTGTGGGTTGACAACTGCAAAACTTGGCTCCGCAAACCAGTCTTGGTAGGTGAACCAGAACGTGTTCAACTGCTCAAACGAGGGACAAGCCACCTGCTGGAAATAGCTAGCAGCATTGGAGACACCAGGTACAGCGGCGCCGAGCTGGTCCCCGTTCACAGGCCACCCTGTCTCAGTCACCCAGACGCTGGCGAGGCTCCCAGCGGCGTCGACACTGGCGCGCGCTTGAGTAACAGCCTCATTGAACAGCTGTCCTGCGTTGCTGATGTGGTTGTTGTCTTCTGGTTGAAAGTAAGGATATACGTCGACGCCAATAAAGTCGCACGCTTTCAGCACGGCAGTATTGGCCGTGTCGAACCACTCGTTGGTCGTGTCAACATGGCCGACCTCAATATCTCCGGGATATCCGGGCAGAGCTTCGAGCATGCCTCTGACATCGTAGATCTTTTCCGAAAGGCTCGCTGGTCCAATATCGCCTCGGTATAGCGACTCGCTGCCCACCGACACGCCCAAAATCCAGCTCCAGCCGTGCTTGCGGATGGCAGCCAGGAGTGCGCCTTTTTCTGCATCAAAGTCTGAGTCGCTATCATCCAAGCCCACGAGGATCTGCACATCGGCGTTCAGAGCCTCTGGCACGGCATGGGCCAGGCTGTCGCATTCTGCCGCATAGAAGAGTCGTGCCGCGTTGATGCTGTTGGGAAGCTGCTTGACTGCATTGAAAGCAAACTTCCAATCAGACGCGGTTTTGCATGAGCTCCCATCTGCAGTATATGATTTGAAATTATAACCTCGATAATAGGCCGCAGCGGGAGCGACGAGCCAAAGAAGAAGGCTGGATGTGAGAGGCGAGATGATCTTCATATTGTCCTTGGCGTCAATGGAAAACCAAGACCCACGCAAAAGTCAAATTGTAGCCACACGGTAAAGACCAGGGACATGAGCGTCCAGCAGAACGTTGTAGGAATGTTGGAGGGAAAGGGATGGGAGGTGGATAAAGATCGGCCCCAGGCCATCATACGTTATTATACCATGGCCCATGAGCGATGAGAGGCAGAAGCAATGCGGACAGACACACGGAAACTCTCCAAAATCAACGAAACGCATTATCATCTTGTTGATGCCGAGACCCGTTGCATCATTCTGCTAGATTTCTGCGCATGGTTTTGCGGCTGAGACACACCAGCACAATATCGAAGCAAGCCTGAGGGCTACTGGTTCTGATCGTGGTGTTGATACGAGGAATCGGCATTGCGAAGCTGTTCGCCCCGGCTCTCCGGCGAGGCCAATGTCGACTGTGCGTTACACACCGCTTTCAAGCATCAGCGCGGCCCAACGACTTCAGAATAAGGAGTGGGTAGGGGAACCTAGGGCGAGACCTCCGGTCGGGAAAAGCACCAGCATCTCTGAAGCCCGACCGCATCATCTCATGTGCAGGAGCACGGCTCATTAGCTCGGTCGAGTTGGCGGCACCAACAAGTATGCTCAGTGCATATTACCTATGCAATTAACACGAGGTTCTGGGAGCCAGTTGTCTGCCATCGTGCTATGTAGCCGTCAACTGGGGGTTATCTTGGGATAGACTCCAATATCAAGGGAGAAGAACTCGGGCCAACCTTTTTGGCCAGCCCTGAAAATGCTTCTTCCCCTTGCCCGTTGTTTCGACCTCAGCTTCGTGCACATAGTAAGGACGAGCTCAGAAAGACCTGCAAATTACAGGACATGAACGTGCGTCTTTGTGTCACCGCGACTATCAATGATCGTGCAGCTTGACTTTTTGCTGGCTGCAGTCGGCCTGCATGTGCATGACTTGGACTTCGGGATGCCCCTGCTTGGAACCGAGGGATGCACACAGCTTGATATTGCAAGTCCTCTATATGGCTTAGGTTGGCTTCATAGCTGGAGGGCGGTGGCCATTTTCGAAAGAGTATAGGAGCATGAAGAGATTGATCTGTTACTTTGCTTATTAGCTTTACAGCTGTATTCCGTGTATGTGCATTGGCTGATTAACTCAAATCGCATGGTGTCAACAAAACATAGTCTTCACAAAGATAGGAGGCGATACTTGTCGAACCTGCAAGTATCTGAATGTTGATATGCAGCATCCTCTTTGGGAAATCAACATCGATAGCGCAGCGCCATTGTCTGTCAGATCGTGAGTCCAAATCCCAAGAGAAGAAGGCCGGTCGGGAAATTCAAGCGCCACAAAACGGCCCAAATGCCGGCAGGAAACTGAAACAACAATGCCCTTTGTCAGCACCGCAGCAGGAAACCCGGCGACAGGTTGGACTAACACATTGAGTCGTGCTTGGTGCATTGCATTAGCATAGGCTCGTTGCACATGCCATTCCAAAGCATTTCCTCACTGCCAGATACGCGCCTGCGTTCATCGTCTCGATTACCAAACACTACTCGATGGCTGGTTTGATGGCGGATCGTTGACAAGGGACCTCGGAGAACAGTATGGATTGTCGGTGACTGGACTGACTGCATATGAAGTGACAACGTCGACTTCACTGCCCGGCCAAACATCCTAGGGCTCAAATTCATGCAACCCGCCGGAAATTCCACAGCCTAGCCAGCAAGAGTGGAAATGTGGCGCATATGGTTGCCAAAGGTGTCGCGTCGATTGTGCCAAGTATGGCTAGATTGCGTTTGTCCAAAAACAATAGCACTATCCCATGTTGAGCTCGCGGTAAAGCTTGCATAGCTCGTGCGCTGGTATCGAAAGAAAAAGCACATCGGGGCAAGAAGAAACTGGAGTGGTCCAGGTGAGGTAAAAAAACGGAAGGTATGCTGTCCTAATAGTCTATCAGATCGCCAGAAAAGCACATGATGTCTGACGTCAGAATGTCTTTGGCAAGTCCTCCTTTGGCCATTATTGGATGGACGGCTAATCTCATTGATATGCTTTATGGTTGGGCTGTGTGTTGTATCAGACGCAGCTTAGGTACTTGTGGTGAGTACATTAGCCAAGTAGATGTTTTGTGCAGAATTGGTAGTAACAGAGACGAATCCAAATCCTTGACGTTGCGCAAGTCAAGTTCGGAAGTAATCTTCGTGGTCAATGCTGATCAGCACTACTAAAGCTGAACATGGCGGTCACGAACTTGCATGGCAAAAAGCAGGAAGTGCGTCCACCAAAAGACACCGAGAGACGCATCTGTGACAGTCGTGCGGGCGTAAGCTTGCCGAAGTGAAGGTCACGGGTCGCAAAATGCGCATATACAGTGGTATTAGCTTGTTTGAGATAGTCTTGGACGTTGGCTGGACCACATGAAAGAGTCTCAAACCTCGGTTTTTCGCTGACTATGACTTTGAGTAATCTTTAACACGTGCCTTTGATGGAAAACCTCTTGTGGTAGTCAACGAGTGCCGTTGGTTCGAGTCTTTGGCTACGTGTTGGCCTAATTTTGGTTTGAGCAGTTCTATGACCTGATGTTGACTGACAAATTCCCTCTTCACGACAAGTTCTGAAAGCTTCACATGAAAGCGTAAGACCGTGAAGAGGCGGCCCCAGCAGTCAAAAAGTGTATCGGTGGTTACAACATTCATCAACATAACCATACAAGCCTGATGCAAGTGATATGACTTCTCTATCAAGCACTATAGACAGAACATCGACTCTGGAGAAGAGTAACAAGATGAGACTGTAACGGAATGGCTGAGAACGCGTGGGTAAACGAAGGTGCAACGAGTGAGATGGGGTGAAATTCAGTGAGTTATATCCAACATAACCGTATATAAATTTTGATTCTACAAATCCCGACATATGAAAAGTCCGCGTAGCGCAGAGGTTAGCGCGCCGCTCTTATACCTTCACGCTGAGTGTTGAGTATGACTTCGCTATGCGGAGGCCGTGAGTTCGATCCTCACCGTGGACACCATCTTTTGCCATTTCCCAAGCTTCCCCACCACCCCTGCCTTGTACTTTTTTTTTCTTTGCACAATACTTTGTTTTGGCTCAATGTAGACAAGAAACTTGGAAAATTCCGATGAAGGTATGTAATGAGTTCCAATACTTGGTCTTTCTTTGCACTTTATGCACATCGTCTTGTGGAGACTGTTGTTTGATTATCGGCCGGTGCCTCCTTAGTGCAACCTGTAGACTTCTGTTCAGCAGTCCTGCCAGCGTAAATGCGCCCCAGATAATGATCTGTACTAAGCACACTTTCTGCCTTGAAATCAGATCTATGATTTGTACTGGCATATTCATATCCTCACATGCTTCTGCCACCGTCAAATGTAGGTACGGCAGTTTGCCAGCGTCAAGCACTCGGCTACTCTGCCTTGTTCATTTCTCAGGGACGGATACAATTACGGGATTTGTAAATTCGTGTTTTCTTCCTACTCAGCAATGAGATACGGGAACTTTAAATGGGAATCAATTTGCCCGGTATCTCCTACGGAATTGCACAGTACCTAGGGAACACTGCCCAGATTACTGAAGTCAAGAGCTGTGGCATAGCTATTCAGCCAATAGTCTTACACGCTTTCTGTGCCCCACCTTGCAACAGGGCCGCCCATGGAACACGTTACCTCGCCACAATTCAACACTCGCTATCTACATGGCATTCCGTGGTTGTACTTGTCATGCTCACATACACATATATCTAGGTGTATATATATTGCAAGAGCAGATTTTATCGTTTCAGCTCGAAGATTTCGACACGAGTAGTAGTCGAGTACAATTTTCAACTTTAGTGCTGTGTATGAAAAACTGAAGCCAAAAACCTGCATGGTAATTTTTCGCATATGTAGTCGTCGTTTTTGTCTCTGAATAATCACCGAAGACACTTGGGTATCTTTCTTTTTATTTGAGAAAAAAGGAGATAAGACGATCCGGGATTTCATTTGGACGCAAAGCCGTTTTATGAACCGGAACCAACACGTGCAAAAGCAAAGACCCAAACTTGCACACAAAAGAAATACGGAAACAAGAGAAAGAAGGTTTCGATCATAAATCATTCCTATCTCGAAAGACAAATTTTTACCAAGTCCTGGAACGATCCAAAGAAACCCGTTATGGCCGTCTTAGTCATATCTGTCATAGCTATCTCCGTGGTCGTACCCTCCATTACTGCCTTGTCCTTGATTGTCATTCCCAAAGCCATTTCCGTAAGAGGTACTCTCATAGGGTTGTTGATACTGCTGAGTGGTTGTCTGATAGGTTCTCGATGTGATCGCCGGTTGATAGTATCCCGTGTTGTGGGCGTGGCCCGACGACGAGTAGGTGCCGGTGTTCGACTGGCTGGACGAAGAGTTTCCGTGAGAGGGTGGGGGCTCGTCGTAAGTGGAACCGCGGCTGGAGCGTACTCTTGAGCTCTGTCGCCTTTCTCTTCGCGAGTTTGAAGGTGGTGGATAATGGCTGGCTGTTCTTCCACGAGAGACGGCCCCTGGTGCCATGTACATCTGTCCAGTACCAGCATAAGATGATGACTGGGAGTAGGGTGAGGTACCATAGGAGCCGCCTACAGGCTGGACTCCATTACCAAATGCTTGGCTCGATGATGCAGAGCTCTGGGCCAAAGAGCCCGAATAGTAAGATCCTGTAGTGTTGGCTCTGCCTCCATATCCCTGAGATGAGTTTTGATCATTCAAAAAAGTAGAGCGTCTCGGTGATTCGTCAACGTCAGATATGTCACTGGAAAATCAAGATTTCTTAAAGTCAGCGCTATAACCATGGATATGCCTTCGTCGATGTGGACGGTTTGGCAAATATGCGAGATTGCTGACCAATATTCTGACCCTACTTCCATCGTCATGGAATCTGACAACGACGGCTGTCTTGAGCTCAGAGAAGCCGGTGACGGTCCAGAGTAGCCGGAGCCTCCGTATATGGCCGGGTTTGTGCCATGTGTTCTGGGAATATAGGATTGGTTGTCCAGATGGCTTCCCACCTCACTCAAGGAGATGCTACCACGGCGCTGGCTGGCTCTAGAGCCCTGAGGCGGATAATAATTCTGGTTGTTGCCTACAGAGTATGATGCTGGGTCCACTTGAGACCTGCCTGATGCCTGATATCCTTGGCCTGCGGAAGTGGCTTGGCAATCATCGTCTGGATTTGTTGAATAAGCGTAGGAAGTGCCATTGTGTGTGGTAGTGCCATAGCCACCACTTGGAGCCACTGTAGGGTAAGGAGCCGTGGCTGGAACGCCACTAGCATTAGCCGTACCGCTATTAGAAGGCCCTTCTCTGGACGATGACGACTGGTACTGCGTTCCCTCTGCGCGGCTGCCAGAGCCCTGATAGGAGGAGGGTGTAGTAGCTGGCACGGGGTAGGTTCGATCCTCTTGGTAGGACGGATTGCGGTCCGAGGCATAGCGTTGCCCATGAGAGTCTCTGGATGAAGAGCCATGGCCTGAAGAAGAGATATGTTGGCGCGATGATCCTTGAGATTCACGGTCACGGTCACGGTCACGGTCACGGTCACGGTCACGGGAGGAGTGACTTCCAGAGTGGCCTCCCGACTTTTTATAGGAATTGCGGCTCGATGTCATACTGTGCCTTTGCAGGGGTTCTCGTATGGTAAATCAATTGCTCAAGTAAGATTCATATGGCTTGTGGGGATTGGCCAGCCAGGAGTAAAATGTCGTTTGACGGGCCGGGCCACTCTCAGTAGCAAAAAAGACGCTTCGGATGTGAAAGCTAGTTTATTTGATGTGGAAGGAAGACCGTCGTCCTCGTGGATCGTCAGTCGGGCTCTGACTTATATGCTTTTGTGTGAGATCAGTTCAGATGCGGGGTGCCAATCGCGACCACAAGAGGAGGAACCACGTAGACCCCCAAAATTCCACTCCCAGTGCTTTGGAGTGAGGCTCTGCATGCAGTGTAATTGAACCTCCCAGTGCTTGGGGTCTGCTGCTCCCTTGGCTCGCACCACGCACAACCTATCACGACTCTGGCATTAAATTTGGTGCATGAAGGTTGCGTCCCGAGATTCTCTCGTCGCATCGTTCATTATTTATCTAGCTCGGACACGGACGACATTCCTCGTTCAGTGACTCGCTTCAATACGCCTTTCACTCGACACTTTCCGTAATATTAGCGTTGTTGGCATTCTTTAAGAGTGTCATGTGCGAGTGCCGCGCCATTCATATCCTGCGAGGATGGTTTGTCGGCAGGATGGAGCATGCGCGCATAGTAGGCTATCAGGTTGTACAGGATTCTTCTCCCAGCGTTAAATGTGTTGCGAAGAACCAGCAAGACGTTTTACAGGGGCTCCTCTGTTTTTTTTTTTTTT